CGTGTCACAGCACGGTGGCCGGAAGCCGCAGTGTCACAGCGAGCTGGCCCAGGTGACAAAGCGCCGGGAGGCTTTGGGGACAGCGGCGCTCTGGGGACAGGGACAGCACCGGGACCCCCTGGGCTGGCCCCGCCGGGGGGATGTGGGGGCTCGGGGTCCTCATCCCCCTCCTCGGAGGTGAGCGGGGACAGGCTGGGGACAGAGGGGACAGAGAGGACAGCCCCATGGCTGCGCTGTGGGGTTGGGGACAGGGGGACACTGTGGGGACACTGGGGGGACACTGGGGGGGCTGGCCCCTGTGTGACTCTGGGGTGGGGGGGCTGTCCTGAGGGGGACATCTGTCCTGAGGGGGAGCCCGGAGAGGAGCTGGGGACACTGAAGGAGGGACAGGGACAGGGACAGTGTGGGTGACACGGCTGTGGCAGGAGGGGGACACAGGGGTGGGTGACACGGCTGTGGCAGGGGGGACAGGGTAGGGCAGGTGGCGATGGATCGGGGGACACGGGGAGGGGACAGGATGGGGGACAGACTGCGTGAGAGGGGACAGGAAAGCGACAGAGCGTGGGGGGACAGGAAGGTGATGGCGGTGGGGACAGGATGGTGACAGCGGTGGGGACAGGATCGGGTGACAGCGGTGGGGACAGGATGGGGTGGCAGCGGTGGCAGAGCACGCGCAGGCAGCGAGCCCGGAGTGTCCCCGGACACGAGCACCGCCGGGTTTTGGGGTGCCACCCCCGTGTCCCCGCCGCTGTCCCCACAGCGGGCGCCCTGCGGGTGATCCAGGAGCCGGACGAGCTGCGGGTGACAGCAGGGGACACGGTGGCCCTGGACTGCCGGGTGGAGGTGGCCGAGAGCGGGGCCGTTCTGCGGCTGCGGTGGCAGAGGGACGGCGACCTCGGGGTGCTCTGTGCCACCCGCCTGCACCTCGGCACCGCCCTGCCCCTTGTCCCCTGTCCCCGCCGTGTCCCCGAGGTCCAGCTGGCCTGGCAGCCCCCYCTGGCCACCCTGAGGCTCCCGCGGGTGAGGGACAGCGACAGCGGGCGCTACCTGTGCCAGGTGACCCTGGAGATCCCCCGCTACGGCAGCGCCACCGGCAACGGCACCGAGATGAGCGTCACCCCCGGTACCGCAGCGCCACCGGCAGCGGGGACAGCGAGGGGACATCCCGAGGGGACAGGGGGTCACCGAGAGGGGGGAGGGGTCCTTGGAGGGGATTCCTGGGGGTTTGGGGTGGTGCAGTGAGGAGGGGATGGGGACGGGGATGGGGACAGGACAGGGATGGGGACACGGATTGGGAATGGGGACAGGGACGGGGATGGGGATGGGGACAGCGATGGGGACGGGGATGGGATGGGGACAGGGACATCTCTGGGACAGGGACATCTCTTCTTTCCCTTCACAGCAGCAGCTGTCGGAGGACATCAGGCAGGTAATTGTGTCCTTTCTGTCCCCGCTGTCCCCTCCGCCCTGTCACCCCCGTGTCCCGCTGTCCCCAGGGCCGGGGGTGACCCTGGCTGTGCTCGCAGCGCTGCTCTGGGGGCTCCTGGGGGCTCTGGGGTGCG